CGGGACAGCGCAGAACCGCTCGCAAACCCGGCTGTGAAGCCGGACAAACCTGGAGCGCGGGACACATCAGCTGCTGGGGGAAGCGGCTCCGGAGTGGAGCGCGTTCCTCTCTGGTGTGGCCACAACTCCTGGTCCAAAGGCAATCAAAAGAGACCGCACGGCCTCGCCATTTTAAGAGGATCTCCCACGGGTAGTTTTTTCCTCTGTCCTCCCAGTTGCAGGCAGCGACACTGGAAGAGCAGAGCCGGCAGATCTTAAGGACACTTTGTGTAGAGCAGAGGAGCTCTCGGTCCCCATGTGTAAGAAAGGAGGCACGGACGGGAAGAGACCAGCACAGCCGAGTCGAGACCCGCTGGTCCAACTCAAGGGCAAGCAGGAAACGTGCAGGCAGTGGAAGAAGGGACAGGCGTCCTCGGAAGGGTGCAGGAACGCTGCCCAGCTGTGTAGGGATGTGGTCAGGAAGGTGAAGGGCATGGCTGAAACTGAACCTGGCAAGGGCTGCAAAGAATAAGAAGGGCTTCTACAGGGATGTCATCCAGAAAATGAAGGTCAGAGAAACCATACCCACTGATGAACATGACTGGCAAACTAGTAACACCAGACAAGAAGGCTGAGGTACTCAGCAATTCTTTTGCCTCAGTCTTTACCAGCAACATCTCTTCCCACAGCTCCTGAATGCACTGGCTGTGACACAGAGACTGGGGAAGCAAATTCCCTTCCACAGTAAGAGAAGATCAGGTTTGTGACCACCTGAGGAACCTGAACATACACTTAAGTCCATGAGACCCGATGAGATGCACCCGAGTCATGAGGGAACTGGCTGATGTAGTTGCCACGCCAGTCAACATGCCCGAGTCATGGCAGGCAGTTGAAACCCCTGGCAGCTGGAAAAAAGGAAACATTGCACCCATTTCTCAAAAAGGTGGAAAGGAGGACCCTGGGAACTAACAACCTGTCAGCCTCACCTCTGTGCTGCAAAGGATCACGGAGCAGATTGTCCTGGAAGCAATGCTAAGGCACATGGAGGACAGAGGGGTGATTAGAGAGCCAGGATGGCTTCACCAAGGGCAAGTCCTGCCTCACCAGCCTAGTGGCCTTCTATGATGACAACACAAGTAGACAAGGGCAGAGCTAGAGATGTTGTCTCTCTGGACTTCTGTTAAGGCATTTGACATGGTCCCCCACAACATCCTTCTCTCTAAACTTGGGAGATGGATTTGATGGATGGACTGCTTAGTGGATGAGGAACTGGCAGGATGGTCACATCCAGAGGGTAGTGGTCAACAGCTCAATGTCCAGGTGGAGACTGGTGACAAGTGGTGTCACTCAGGAGTCCATCTCATCAATAACAGACAGTGGGATCCAGTGTAGCCTCAGCAAGTTTGCAGACAACAGCAAGATGAGTGGTGCAGCTGACATGCCTCAGGAATGGGTAATCCCCAGCATGAATACAGGCTGGGGAATAAAAGGAGTGAAAGCAGCCCTGGAGGGGACTTGGGGGGTGCTGGTGGATGAAAAGCTGGACATGAGCCAGCAAAGTGCATGGGCCCAGCAACTGAGCTGTATCCTGGGCTACATCACCAGCAGTGTGGCCAGGAGGTTGAGGGAGGGGAATCTGCCCCTCAGCTCCACTGGTGAGACTCCCCTGGAGCACTGCATCCAGCTCTGGAGTCCTCAGCACAGGAAAAACATGGACTTTTTGGGAGTAGGGCCAGAGGAGGCCATAAAAATTATCAGAGGGACAGGGAAAGACTTTTAGCAGGGCCTGTTGCAATAGGACTAGGAGTGATTGTTTTCAACTAAAAGAGGGTAAATTTAGACTAGGTATAAGGAAGAAATGTTTTTACAATGAGGGTGGTGAGACACTGGCATAGGTTGCCTAGAGAAGCTGTGGACGTCCCATCCCTGGAAACATTCAAAGTCAGGTTGGATGGGGCTCTGAGCAACCAGATTGAGTTGAAGTTATCCCTGCTCATTGCAGGGGGTTTGGACTAGATGAGCTTTAAAGATCCCTTCCAACCCAAACCATCCCATGATTCTGTAACCCCAATCTCCCCACCATTTTGTGATGTGTGTGCCTCATCCTCATCAGTCCAACTGCATTATCCTATGTGGGGTTTGACCTGCAGGACAGAGTGGAGCTGGGACCCACTCTGGTCACCAGCCCCCTCCTGTGCAAGGCTGTGGGAGCCAGGGCAGAGACCAGAGTTGAGCCTTGAGCTGAGCCTTAAGAGCACATCTGTGATACCACCATTAATGCCAACCCAAGCAGCTCCCTGAGCTGCTTCACAGGGCGTGTATTTGGGAACCTGCAACTTAGCCATGGACAGAGCAGAGGGCATGGAGGAGCTACGACCCACATCCCCCAGCCAGCCAGAGGCCCTGTCCTCACAGCTTGGTGAAGAAAGGGATCCATCACCACCTTGGGATGCTCCTGGCTCTCACAGCCACCCCAGCTTCACTCCAGGACCCCTGAGGGGGAAATGACAGGCTGCCTACTTGCTAGCAGCACAGCTGTGGGCTGGGCTGCCTTGATTTTGGGTGTGCAAGTTCCTCTAACAAAGCTTTTCCATCAGCACTATGAAGAGCAAGAGCTCCAGTCTACATTAGTAGAAACCCTGCAGATTTGGAATAAAAAGCAACACAGAACTGGTTAAAAACCTCAAATCTGCTGGAGGCAGGGAGAGCATTAGCTGGCCAGGGAGTGCTGCAGTGCCCACACGCCCTGTGAGGGACACCCTTTCCAGCTCCCTCAAACACAGGCCCCTCCAGGGGTGACGGCTGAGGAGGAGCTGTGCAGACAGAGATTCTAGCAGAAGCAGGTTTCAAAGCTCAGCCTCTTCCTGCCAGCCCTTGCCCCACAAGATGCTGGCAGGCACAGGTCAGCTTAGCAGAGGTGTCTCCTGTGGAGCTCCTTGGGAGAGCTGCTCACCCACTGGGAGGCGAGGACTGGGAGGAGAGATGGCCACACAGGCTACCTGCAAACTAGCCTAATGCCTGTCTTTGAAAGCTGTACAAGATAACCCTCCCGTGGTGTCTGCAATCCAGGGAGAGAAGCTGTGAGAGCTACTGCATGGAGCAGCCGTCGGAGGGCAGGGAGTCGTACAGGCAGGCGGCCACCGCCCTGCACAGGTAGGTCATGGTGCCGAACCGGCCGCTTGGCGCGCTGTCGTACAACAGGCTGCAGATGCCTGTCGTGGGATCCCTCTCCAGCATCTGGTCATCAGCACCAAGGGCCTTCTGGATTTGGGACAGAGAAGGAGAAAGGCAGCATTAGGATAAGGGGAGCACCCTCACCAGCTTCCACCCCAAAGCATCCTCTGTTGCACTGGCAGCATGACACACCAATGGGGAACAGCAGGAAGAGGACACTATTTTTGCCACGTCCCATGAACACAATGGGGCAAGAGGCAGGACCCTCCAAGTACGTGAACCCTGAGTAGCTGTGGGGAATGGAGACAGCAACCCTGATTGCAGGCCATGGCCCCTGCGTGAGGCCTAGTCCCTACCTGCTCCTCATAGAAGAGGTCATTGGCTGTCTGCAGGATCTTTTCCACAGCTATGATGCTGCCAATGGTGTGCACCTCCACGTCCACCAGCATGGTAAGCACTAAGATAGCCTCTACCAGCAGCTGCCTGTACTCTGGCTGGGGCACACGGTTGAGGACTGACTCCACATGTACAGCAAACTTCATTTCCCCTGGGGTCATCTGTGAGGAGGGAGAAAGAAATGCACCCAGAGCACTGCATCGCCAGCACAAGTCCTGAGCTACGCTGGGCACACACCCAGGGCTACCCAACACTAACCCACCTGCCCCGTCTCCCCTTCAGATAAACCTCCTACCTCTCTGGTTGTTGAAGAGGGGAGAACAAAACCCTCCACAGAGAGGCCATGGCACTGCAGAACAAGGAGAAGAGACCATGGTTATGGCCCAGAGAAGCACTGCACTAAGACACGCAGGTTCAGCCTATCAACTCGCTCCTACTTGGGCACTGGTGTGTGCTGCCCACACACCCCAGCTCCACCTCTGGCCTCTCTGCACAGCTCCCTCCTCATCAGCTAGGCATCAGCTGGAGCCCCCCTGCACACAGCACAGGGCTCTGCTCCCTGGCTTATCACACCACGGACAAGCAGTGCCCAGAGCTGCTTCAGCTGTGGCTCCAGCCCTGCTCCTGCCTGTCTGGCTAATGTATAAAGCAGCTGAGCAGACCTTGTCCCCTTCTCTGCCAGGGTCAGCACAGAATGAGGTGGGTCCTGCATGCCTAAAGGCAGCTCCAGCTCTTCCCCAGCTTTCCAGGGCCAGTTGTTTTCCAGGCCTTCTCAATGAAGTACATATCTTCTACACAG